TTGAACTATAGACTCAAATCAGCTGCTGGTAGGCAATAAGGTTTATGAAGCTCCAACTTTGTGTCTGGCTATGTTTTATCTGGGTTCTTCCAACAATCTTTAAAGATAGATATGATTTGTTTCCTCTGTCCCATTCTAGAGAATGAGAAGCTGAGGTTCAGTAATCTGAAATGAACTTGTTCAATGTGGTGTGGCCAGAAGAGGAACCCTCAAACCTATCCTTGCCTGTCTCAAAAGTGTAGTCTTCTTTTGTGCTGGGCAATTGTATCTTTGTCATAGCCTTACACTCTTGGATAAGTGTGACCACTGTCTCTATGGGGGGGTGCTGAGCAGGTGCCTGCCTGGCTCTGACAATGCTGACGCACTGGATGGCTCAGTGGAATCATCAGCAGTTGACTACAGAATCCCCCGCCCCCGGAAACTCCTCTGTCTGCTGCAGTTCTACGCAGTTGTGAAACCATGTCATTCAGTTGAGTGTGTTCCCAAGCAGTCTGAGAGCATGGCACAGAAAGGAAGGCCATGACCTGGGGGCAGGTATCTCCCTCTGGCTTTAGTTGTCTTCCTCCTGTGGTTGGGGACAAGGGCAGGGGAAAGCCAGAGGGACTCAGAGTATGGTCCTCAGTCCAGCAGCCTTGGCATCACCTCATTAACTGGGAATTCACTAGAAATGCAGAATCTCAGAGCCACTACAGATCTCAAGCATCAAAATCTATTTTAACAAGATTCCTAGGTGGTTCAGGACACACTGCACTAAGATCTCTCTCTCGCTCTCTCTGTCTGTCTCTCTGTCTGTCTCTCTGTCTGTCTCTGTCTGTCTCTGTCTCTCTCTCTCTCTCTCTCTCTCTCTCTCTCTCTCTCTCTCTCTCTCTCTCTCTCTCATTGAGTCCAGGGTCCAGGGCCTTCACTGTGAACCACATCCTCTTTTAAATTTTGAAACAAGTCTTTCAATTGTCCAGGCTGGGCTCAAACTTGATGTCTTCCTACCTTGGCCTCCCAGAGTGCTGGGGTTACAGCTATGCACTATACTACCATATCCACTTAACCCCTGCTTTCTGCAAATGAAGAGACTGAGGCTGTCCAAAGCATAGGCCAGGAGGAGGAATCTGAGCTGGGAATAGAACCGCAGGCCTTAGAGTACACTTCCATACTTCTGTGCCCTTCTTGTGCTTTAGTGTGAAATACGTGCAAAGCAAATTTAAAGTAAAGTATCTTTTAGATAACAAAAATTAACACCAGGCTGGAATAAGAAATTTATAGTGAGTAACCCAAGGAAGAGAATTCCACTAAGTTGCTGGCAAAGCAATTAAAAGAAAGTTAGTGATAACAGATTATTCCAGGAAAGATTATGAGGGAGGATTGAAAAACTTTTTATTTTGTTTTGGGGCTCAAAGGAGTTGAAGGGGATTTCTACAGAGTGAATTGTCCCTCCTCATTTGAGGCATTCCTCTGGCCATTCCTTTCTGCCCATCTTTTCTTTGTTATTTAGTTCCTGGCCCTCTCTGACACATCCACAAAGTCCTCTTTTTCTTTCTTGTTTATTTTATGTATTTAGTACAGGATCTACAGGGCCTCACTACACACATCAGATTCAGTGAGTCTCCTGTTTTCAGCCTCCCAAGTGCTGGGATTACAGGTGTGCACCACCATGCCCAGTCAAAATTACGCATGGTGGGTCCCTGTGTCTGCCTAAGCAGGCGCTTTAATCTGCTGAGCTATGTGGCTGGCCCTATCACATCTTCTTTGTCCATTCCTCGGTTGATAGGCATCTAGGTTGTTTTCAAGTTTTAGCTATGAGAAATTGTGCTGCTAAAACATGGATTGCACATATATCACTGTGGTATGATAATTTCAGTTCTTTTGGAAAAATACCTAGGAGGGGGATAGCTGCCTTGAATGGGAGCTCCAGTCCTAGCTTTTTGAGGACTCTCCATACTGATTTCCATAATGGTTGTAACAGCTTGCACTCCCACCAACAGTGGACAAGGGCTCCTCTTTCTCCACAGCCTCTCCAGCAGTAGTTATTGATGGACTCATTGATGATAGCCATTCTTTCTGGCTTAAGATGGTATCTCAGGGTTAATTTACATCTCTTGAATGTTGAACATTTTTTCATGTATTTATTTGCCATTTGTACCTCTTCATTTATGAAGTGTGTATTCATCTCAGATGCCCTATTTTTAACTGGATCTGTGAATTTTGAAGGCCTGAGTTTTAAAAATGTTCTAGATAAGAGCCACTGACTTTCATAAAACACATGGGATGGGATTTTAGGCATGGCTCAGTGGTAGGTTTCCCACCTAGCACAAGTGAAGCCCTGGTGCAATCCTAAGCACCACCAAAATTTACTTTTATTCATATATAAAATAGAATTGCATTTCTTTTATTTAAATTTCCTTTGCCCACTACAATGACCAACATGTTGCCAGTTGTGAATCAGTTTCAATAACCTCATCTTCTCTTTCTGTTATACTTTTTCATGCTTTCCTCCTTGTTTTTCTTTCTTTTTCTCTCTCCTCCCTCTTGCTGGTGCTTATTAAAGCAAATCTCAGGCATCATATCATTTCACTCAGTTCCTGAAGAATTTCCTGGAGGCAGGGCTACAGGACAGTTAAGCTGGACAAATGATTTCTTATGATTGTATTCCTTACTGAAATATGGATTTGTGTTCCTTAGCCAAAGAAAAATATAACACTTCTAAAACTTCTAGAAAATGCCCCAGATATTATAGCTTTATATTCTATCCCATTTCTCTCCCTAGAGTCATTGAGGGAGGAGTCTCCAAGGAATTTTAAACTTCCTTTACTATTAAAATAGTAACAGAAATTTTAGATGTTTATAAATTATAGGTGCATATTCTCTTACTGTTGGCTTGATTTTTGAAGTAAAGAACTGTTAATGTATAGTTTGAGAAGATCTAGGACTAGAAACTAAGCATATGTTTCTCCCCATGTCAACCTCCTGAGCTGATTATTTGTGATGGTTTTAAATGCATTTTGGATCACGAACTAGATATAAAAGCATGATACAGGGTTATTTCAATGTTCACACGTCAGATCTATGGTGTCAAATAATTGAGGTGTGGCTATTTTCATTAGTAAATATCTTCCAACTAAATTTAGGTAAACTGCCCTCTAAATAAGTCAAGTTGACTGGGACTTTGAACGAAGAAATTAATTATAGCCGGTGTCCTAAGGAAAAGAATCCCACTGTGGCATGGAGAATGTAATTAATGGGAGGTAAGTGCCAACAAATCACTCCTTAAAATATTAATGCTATCAAAGAACAGCTGGATAATGAGAGAAAGCCTACCCTAGGGAGATTAGCTAGGGTTGCTTTTGCTGCTGTACAACTTTATGTAGTTATGATGTAATGAAATTCCTCTGAATTTTAAGAAAAGTAATTTTAAGAGGTGTGGTTCTGGGAAAGTTATTAGCAGGGAACATATCTTTGAGTTTTATCATCTTATTACGCTTATTATACTTTTGCTGTGTTTCTAAATGACTTTTCCCATTAATTGGTCAGGATATATTAACAGTCCAAATGACCTTCGTTACAAATAAATAGACTTTTTTTTTTTTAAAAAAAAGCAACCTTTAAGCCTGACAAAGTTCTTTAATTTTTGTAAATAAAATCCCACTACCTAAGAAGCTTCCTCAAAACCATTTCTCTTATGCTTGAATTAAGTTTAGAAAAACTGCTCCATCATTTGTTTGACTAAATCTAATTCGGTTTCACTTGAATGTTTACTATTCCCAAAATATCTACTTTCAAAGAGAGCAATAAAGTTAAATATTTGCACAATCTCCCGTAACAGGCAGAACGTTGGACATCTATTTTTAGTCTTATAACTAAATGATAATCTCAGTATTTAAGATTAGAAATCAGAAATAATTCTTTGCCTAGATTGCCTTTAATTTTTAGATTGAAAATTCGTCGTTCCTGGGTAAGCAAGAACTTTTCCCTAGCAGCAGCGCGCTCGGCTGGGAAGCTGCAGGAGGGACCCCCACTTTTGACCGCATTCTTGTCGGCCAGTGCCCGCACACTTTGTTCTTTGGTTTCGCTTCGCTCAACAACATCTAAATCAGTGACGCGGCTATTTGATGTGTTTGACAAGTAGGCTGAGATCCGACGAACACGGTCACACACACGCGGAGAAACGACGAGAGGAAGTTCGGGATGCAGCACAAATAAATACTTGAGTCGATCCCAGGTTTCACAGAACACCAGTTTCACAAGGCACTGCTGCTGAGCACTCCCCTGAAAATAGCACACAGGGGACACATTATTTAAACAAATGTGTTTCTTTGCCCGAACAGAAGTTCATATCTGCTCAATTATCATTAATTTTGTTCCTTTATTTTCTTTGAGGGCGCGCACGCGGAGAAGTCGCGCTCTTGCAGGTTTTGCGAGTAGTTTGGGCGGTGAAGGTGACCGCGACTCCTCGCTCGGCCGCGTCCAGCAAGCTGTGGGAAGGAGCGAGGCAGCGTGCGCGCATTTTTGAAAAAGTGCAAAGAGAGGTGCAGAGGTTGGCGACCCCAATAAGTGACCTTGTAGGCACTGAACCCTTAGCATCATGTGATACGAACGAATCTGGGTCTGCTCAACAGACCGATGACAAACTTCAGTCACCGCGCTCAGTTTTAAAAATTAAAACCAGACAAAATAAAAGCAGCGCGTCCAACTCAAGAGCCCAGGTGCGCGGATAGACGGAGGAGCCGGCAGCCGCAGCCCCACTCTGCTCAGTATTCGAGGCTGGGTCGGAGCGGGTGCGGGTTGACCCGCTCAGCTGGCGTCTAGGCCTGGGGCTTGCGCGGGGGGGGGGCGCACGGCTGGGGGCGGCCGGGGAGCCGCAGAGGACGCCGTGATTAGCTCCAGCGGCGCGACCTGGGAGGGCGGACTCTTTCTTCACCCTCGTGGTCTCCTCCTCCCTCTTCCTTTTTAAAGGACGCTTGCAGGCAGCCCTGTCAGCGACCCCGTGCTGTTTGTACTTGGCCGCACGGGAGTGTCTCTTGCTCTCGTGACAGGCAGGGGCGGGGGACCTGCACGTGGGGAGCCACTTCCCTTTCCTTTGGGCTCCGCCCGACACCGGCGACAGCCCCTAGTCGGAATACTGCGCACTCTTGGAGGTGGCAGCCCCGGGCGCCATGGCCCCCGCGAGGAGTGGGGAGCGGGGTGGCCCGGGACTGGGAGGCCTACGCGCGCCGGGGGCGCAATGAGCGGGGCCGAGGGCGGCGGCAGCGGTCCTAGCCGGCTCTTTCTGCGGGCTTCCGACACTAGCCCCTGCGCACCATGCTGACCTCCGGCCCGCACAGCCCACGGCGCAGCCCCTACTGCCTCCTCGGCCCCTGCTAACCCACGCCGAGCCCCGGGGAAGGCGGAACCGTGGTGCGCCCAGAGCCCCAGCTGCGAGTCCCTCTCCGAGCCCCAGCGGCGCATCTCTCCGGCCGCCCAGGGCGCGCAGCGACAATGGGGGCGCTGCTGGCGTTCTGGCTACTCCTGGGCTGGCTGCTCTGGGACCCAGCAGTCGCCCAGCAGCCCGGCGAGTACTGCCACGGCTGGGTGGACGTGCAGGGCAACTACCATGAGGGCTTCCAGTGCCCAGAGGACTTCGACACGCTGGACGCCACAATCTGCTGCGGTTCCTGCGCGCTCCGCTACTGCTGCGCTGCTGCCGACGCCAGGCTGGAGCAGGGAGGCTGCACCAATGACCGCGGCGAGCTGGAGCACCCAGGCATCACTGCACGTAAGTCCGGCTCATGGGAAGCTAGCCCCTGGTGCGCCCCGCAAGCTGGCCTCTCTGGGTCTATGCGCAGAGTGGACCCAGCTGTGTAGCGGGATTAAGGGAGGATGGGTGCGGATCTGGGACCCTGTTCCTGTGCAGGCTGGTTCCCTGCTTCGGGCGGTCGCTGAGGCTCTGTTGGGCAAAGTTTTCAGGGAGAAGCGGACATCGGGGCTTGCACCTGGTGGCTCTGGGTGAAAGAACTGGAGCTCCCGAGAGAAAAGTCATCTAGGCAGCACCCCCTGCCCCCTAGACTTAGGGCTTTTCGAGGTGGCCGGCGCCCCATTGGGCTCCTTCAGGGAGGGCTGAAGGAGAAAGAAGGAACGTGAGGATTCCTGTGAAGTGGTCATTTGTAGCCTTGCAGGGTCACTGAACTTAGCCATGTGTTTCCGTTCTCTGTCTCTGTCTCTGTCTCTCTGTCTGTCTCTCTCTTTCTCTCTCTCTCTCTCTCATTCTCTGTGGCTGTGTGCGTGCGTCGCGCGTGTGCCCGCCCGCGTCCCTCCGTCCATCAGTCCGTCTGTCTCTCCCTCCCTTCTCCCCCCTCCCATCCCTGGTGGCATTTCTAAGCCGCTGTCTCTCTTTCTCCAGACTTCCTTTCATTTCTCTGCATCAAATTACCCTCTCTGGCCAACCCCCTATTGTCAGGCCTTTCAGAAATACCCAGGTCTGTGAGGTGGAGATTTAGAAACTAGGGTAGGGGCTTCCCCGCCCCCCTATTCTCACGTCGGAAAACATGGGTCAAATTTCCGCTCGCTCAGAGCCAAATAAATCATGACCCCAGCAGAGGAAATTTACACCTTGAAAAAAGTTTTCCACCTTAATCGAAACATCAGGGAAACCTTTTAGAGCTGGAGGCGCTGCTTTTATGGCCTGGAAACCAGAGATGCAGGCAGAGCAGAGAACCAGTGACTCCCCAAGACTCAGGCACAGCAGGCGAGGGAGGTCCCTGGGAAAGGCCGGAGAAATCATTTGACCTTGGTCGGAGCCCCTTCCCTTCAAACTGATAATCTAGAGAAATGGAAGTCTGCCCTCAGTTTAGCCCAGTGCCCAGGAAGTTCACCTGGTGCTATTTAGGTGGAACAATGGGTGGGATCCTGAAGAGCTTATGTAATGAGCAGCACATAGTTGGTGACAGTTACCTGTCATTTACTGACCATGTGTTTGTGAAAGTGCCACACACTGGTAGATTTCTACATGTGGAAGAGAGATATTGTACATTTCAAGGGTTTCCTAGGAGACTTGAATCACCGAAAGGAAAGAGGCACAGAGAGGCTGTAACCACTGCAGACTGCCTTCTACCTCTAAACTGCAGGCTCCATCCCAGCATGGTACTATCAGATAGGGGAGAGGCATGGAGAAATGCCCAGCATGCCTCTGGGGTGGGAGATTTTATGCAGTATCTGCCTTGTGGAGAGAGAAGGAATGGAGTTTGCCCTGTCTGAGCGGTGTTATTATATAGAGTCTGGGCTGCCAACACCAGGAACTTCACCGTGGCCCATCTCAAGTTCAGCTCCACTTTCCCAGACCTTGGGTGGGAATGGAGACAGAAGTGTGGTCCCTGGAGTACATTCCATACTGTTTCTGCAAATAACCAGCCAGAGATGACAGTTTGTGCTAAGGTAGGTAGGAGACATGGTAGAGTGGGGCTCACTATAGATTTATGCATTTATTTAAAGTGTTCTTTCTGGAGCCTCATAAAGTCCCAGGTATCTCATTTAACAAGCCCTGTTCCCTTTGCTTAGATGGGAGATCCTTGAGCAGGACATGGATTTTTCAGTCTGAGACAGGTCAAAGCCCTAAGTGCCTTACCGTGATAAAAATCCTAAAACCTTGATTTAAACCCAGAGCTATGGTAACTGACACTTTCCCTCCAGTGCATGACCAGGAGGGTGGATTCTGTTTTTTTCCTGACTTCCAGATGTGCAATCCAATGGCTAATTGCTAACAGAGCCTATAGTATTGGTTTGCTTCCTCCTTGCTAGGAGTAGAAAGAACATTTCCTCCTCATACTTTGCACTGGGGAGGTTACCAGAAATGAGCTTTGAAAAGCTCAAGCTGACAAGAGTGCTAATATTGTGCTTTGCACTTCTCACCCCCTAAACTGCCCAAGCAGCACCCAAAGTTTGGGAGACCTTTGCATGAGCACGTGTATGTGTTCTGTTCTTGTCTTTTAGAGCCGGTCTACGTCCCCTTCCTGATCGTCGGCTCCATCTTCATTGCGTTCATCATCTTGGGCTCTCTAGTGGCTATTTATTGTTGTACCTGTCTGAGACCCAAGGAGCCCTCGCAGCAGCCAATCCGCTTCTCGCTGCGCAGCTATCAGACGGAGACCTTACCCATGATCCTGACCTCCACGAGCCTCAGGGCACCTTCCCGGCAGTCCAGCACAGCCACCAGCTCCAGCTCCACAGGTGGTTCCATCCGCAGGTTCTCTTTTGCCAGGGCTGAGCCAGGCTGTCTGGTACCCTCACCACCCCCACCTTACACCACGGGCCACCCTATCCACCTGACCCAGCCATCAGGTTTCCTTGTGTCACCCCAGTATTTTGCTTACCCTCTGCAGCAGGAGCCCCCACTACCTGGAAAGAGCTGTCCAGACTTTAGTTCCACCTGACAGTACGTGGCCACGAAGCCGCTGTGTAGTCAGGGGCAGACAGACGGAGCGCTGTTGCTGTCACCACACTGAAAGCTCCCTCACAACTTACTCACCGTCGTGGAAGAAAGTGCTAGGAAGATACAGTGCCTTCTAGTCTTAAGGTTCTTAGCTGCACTCCCAGAAGGTTGGGCCTTGTGAGCACGGAGACCATTCCATTTCAATTCATGCTGTTTTTATGAAAAATGCACAACAGTTTGACTTTAAAGTTGCAGACTGGCTGAAAATTCAGCTATACTGCCTAGAAAAGGAACATGTGTTCCTTTTATAGGTTTGTCAAGATAAATACAAGCATATAAGTAAAGAAAATACCTAATTGTAATTATCAAAGGTTCACTTAAAAATTAACTATTAAGTAAACTTGAGGGGACTGGGAACCGCCTATTTATAACTTTGGGTGTAATCTAACCATGAATATTAGCATGGTGACAACATTTACTTTTTAAATTAATAACTAAATTTTGTTTAAAATAGAAAAGTTGTTATAATACAAGCTTTCAGTAACCACATGGGTTTAAAGTTTGAAGTGTGTACTTAGACATTCATTACAACACAGGTTTTATGTGAAATCACTTTCCCTACCCACCAGAGGGAATATTTATTACAGACCTTTTGTTCAGCCACAGTTAGCATTTAAATGAAAGTTGGACAATTGAGTCTTAAAACATTTATTTGTAAAATGAGTTATGTACAAATGTAAAGAACTGTAATTTAATGTATTTACCACATTGACAATACTAATTATTTAGTAGTCACACTGTGATTTTTGTTAATAACTCTGGAGTTTAAAACTATTGGTGTAATCATCTAATATTACAGTCTCAAAGGCACTGAATTCCATGTCTAATGACTACACGTTTGGGCATATAACCTGCTGGGAGAATAAATAAAATAATTTTCATGAATTCTATTTGAAATTTTAAATTAAAGTGTTTTGTCGCTGGACTTTTTCCTTTTCATTTACTAGATGCTGTTCTTTCTATAGTTTTAAATGAACCTGTCCTAGGTCTTACTATCAGCCAAGCATCTTGCTAAGGTCCTACATGTGTCAACTCGCTCCCTCCTCTGAACAATCCCAACAGGACATAGCGCAATGTCTGTTATGCAGATTTGGTAATGGAGGCACAGAGGAAAGCAGTAACTCCTGTGAGAGTTGCCGCTAGCCGGTAATGGCATCAGCATGGAGAAGCAGATTCCACATTAGGGAAGCAACAACTATAAAATTTTTATGTCACTGGGTAAAAAACCCACTGGAGATTTTAAAAGCATAAGGCCCACCTTCTAAAGAGGGTGATGATTCTCAACTCTGTTGGACTCTATGGGCTTTCTCTAGAACAAATATTGTGTGACAACACTTTATCCCAAGTGAAATGTATAGCTAGTATAACTCATGATACCCATAATTACAAAAAGTCAATGCAATATCCTAACGGTAAATAGGAAGGCGAAAGAAAAAGAAGGTAAGTTATGGAGTCATAAACAGTGTAGATAGTTAACAAAGGGCTCCGACACTAACCCCTTCTGACATCTCTGATTTCATACTAATGCAACTTATATACGGTTGCATTGCTTCTGTTAATGTAAATTTTTCAAAAAATGAAAAGCAGGGCCAGGGAGATAGCTCAGTAGAATAAGTGCTTGCCTGGCAAGCACAGGGTCCTGAGTTCAATCCCTGGTACCACCAAAAAAAAAAAAAAAAGCAAAGTTTGGTTTGCCTTTGCACAATGGTTGTGTATCTGGAAAATTCAAGGTAAACTAAAACAATGCAAACCATACTTTCCTTGTAAGGTCTTCCACTGATGAGGATGGTGGGACATCCTAAAGTCATGCTGATGGAAAGTCTTTGTTGCATAGTCTCCCATGCCTCGTACAGGCTCTGCTATAACCAGCTTTCTCACAATGAATGACAGTTGCACCCTAATATTCTACCAAGACGCCCTTATGCAATTCCATAATGTCCTCTAGAGGGTGCAACCTCCCCCTCCCCTGAAGGAACAAACTGTGTTACTCCTTTGGCAAACAGTTTATGTCCTTTAGGCAGACCAGTTCCAAGGGACTCAGAGTTCACATCTGCAAATTTCCTTGCCTTAGCAGGATTCTGCAGTAGATCAAGTTAACTAGCCATAAGTTGTTTAAAATTATGCATGCACAGACACCTAATCAAATCAGATCCCCATGCCCTTGGTGATATACATACATATATATCTTTGTACGTCTTCTCCCTGGAAGCTCAGGCTAAGCTGGGTAATGTTAGTATTCATGATCTTAGGGCAATAAGGCAGCCTGTGGCAGATTTGCAGACACTGTTCCACTCATTAAGACTTTGGGTCCCATTGCTCACCTGTGACTTAGGCCTTGTGAGAGAGGTCAAATAAAATGCAGTCTGACTTAAGCTACTGTCTATGGTAGGTTTAAGCATGACAACCAATGTTGGGTTCAGAGGTTACAGAGACTGTTACATTACTGACATTATGTTATCCCCTTATCTTCCTGTTGTAGGGGAGCTCACAGGCAGGTAACACCACTTCCTGGCACCACAGACAAAGAGCACTGTCTTCTTCTGGAGATGCTATGAGAGCTGAGCTGTGAGAGATGCATGAGATTTGTGTGAAAATGGAGTAGAAAGAGGAAAAGGGAGCTGGAAATAAGAGGAACAGCATGCTAGGCAGGAAGTGTCCATCAGGGTGAAAGGCGGAATGTACTGGAAACTAGATAACCCAGAGAGGAGTGGGGTAGAGAAACAGAGGCACACTGGAGCTCCTGAACACCACACTGGTTAGGTGTGTACCAAATGGGGGTATTAGAGGACTTTATGGGTGAGTTGGATACATCTTTGACTTAGATTACAAGCAAGGATCAAATCAGGTCACTTGAAATTTTCAAGCAGATGTTTGTCACCATCAACCCTATCAGCAGAAACTTGTCTGGCTTAAGCTTTTATTACTACTACAAAGAACTTGGGTCTTAATGTCCTTATTGTGAAAAATCACAAAGAGTTCTATACTGTAAAGGATAGTTATGCCAATAATTGGATAATATTAAGCATCATATGTGTCCTACGTGCTTTATGAGTTGTATCATATAACCTATTCTTAAGTAGGAACTATTTCAGTGCCTGCTTTGTAAATAAAGAAAACTAGGCAGGGACATTAACCACTATGCCCAAGAATAAACAAGCAATAACTGAGTGAAGAGTTGAATCTAAGTCTGTTTTGTAACTCTGTATTCTTTAAGATATTAGGCCAAAAAGGCCTAATTTTCTCAGGAAAATAACCCAGCCTCCTTTTCAGAAAATATATTTGAGTTTAACTTCACTAAATTTATTTTCTCCTTTGTAAAGTGGAGACATCAATAGTACCTTATTTGCTTAAGGTTCTTTTGATAAGTTGAGAGACTGTGTCACATCATTTGCATTTTTTGGTGGAGGGAGCTAGGAAGTTAATGTTAAATCACAGAAAGCAGGTGCAACACTGTAAAACAAAAGCAAAAGGCTAAATACTGTGGGAGGGTAGATACCATGTTGATTAGGGGAAAGAAACAGACAAAATAGCCCTACAGTTTGATAGAGTTAGTCCTTGATAACCTTTGGCTCCTCTTTGGCCAACTTCCTTTTATTGCCTGGGTGGGACACTCTTCTATGATGTTTGTCTGTGTAAGTCAGCTTTCTTTCACTGTAACAAAAACCTAGGGATAGAATTGAACAAAGAGAAAAGATTTATTCAGCTTACAGTTTTGGAGGTTCTGGCCCATGACTGGTTACCCTGTTGGTTTGGGTCTATGGTGAGACAGCACACCATGGCAAGAGCATGTGACATGGAGAAGCTGCTCACATCTCAAGACAGGGAGCAATGAGGAAGAGAGAAGAGTCCCACAGTCCCCTTGCAGGACATGTCCCCAGTGGTCTAGGGACCTCACGAGGCCCCACAGCCTATATGTCCTACCACTTCTCACTTGCACAACTCTGAGGACCAGTCCTTTAACACAAGTACGCCTGGTGTGTACATTAACTTTTTTATGCATTAACTTTTTCTTTTTTAGAAAACATACTTAACACAGTAAATTTGTCTCAAATTTTATCATTCATTCTAACATCAATAGATGATACTTTTAATTGTCCAAATGCATTGCATACTTCTTTTTACTCTTCCCATCTGTTTTCCCTTTGCTGGTGTTAATAGTAGCTATTTATCTATCATAGTTAATTTTCCAGCCTTGAATCTGCAGGAAATTTTCTAATATTAGATAATCAAAAATTTTCCTGAAAAGTGGACATAGTCGCAACTAAGAATTTGGTTCATTAGTGGTTCAGCTTTGCATAATTTAAAAGTTTATTTAGCATATGTTCAGGAAAAATAAGAATTTACAGGCATGTTAAGCTACCAAGGGAACAAATTATTAACATATTTATATGCACATGGCTATTTTAAAATTGCAATTAAACATTCATTATTAATGAACTTATTCTGGCAGGGAATTCCTTGCTAGAATTCAGTTGCTAGAATAGTTTTTTTGTAGGATAGTCTTAATTTTGAAAGTAATAAAGGCTGAACGTTAAAGAAAGTGTGCCATATTTTCCAACAGATTTTATTAGTGTACTTGTGAAATTATCCAGGTTAGGGAAACTTTTATTCGTTACAGTGAGGTTGGTTGTGTCTTACTGAAATGGAGAGGCTGTAAGCATATAAAACAAATTTTAAATGGAGATGATGTCTTGAATTTATGGGAGCATATTTCAAACTGCTATTTCCTTATGGTAGTATTAGAAGATATCTTACGTCAGTATAAACAGTTTTAAGAGGGATGACATTGACTGTGAAAATTATATGACACAATTCACAGGTAGCTTCTCCCTAAATTGTTTTGCTCTGGTTTTACATAGAGATGCAGACCCAACTGACCCTGGGAAGATTAGGGAGAGGACAGGGGACTCCAGACAGTGAAACCCATGTGGCTCTGGTCTAATAAAATCAGAGGCTCCTCAAGCTGTTCCTCCAATATTGGGGAACTAATCTTCTTCTAGCAATTTACCTAGCTGAAGCTTCAGTGGCTTGGTTTTTACTAAAGGATGCTCTCTTGGATGAAGGTATTGTCATTTCTGGTATTGCCATGTCTTTGGGATCATATGCTCAATTTCATTATTCTTTGATTACTTTAAAAAATATTATTGGTTAGACTTGGTCACTTTTTCATCAATGAAGGAAAAAAGTAAATTGCTTCAGAACATCTAATAAATTCAGCGAACATAAAAGGGCAGAGACATGAATGGTTTATTTGCAAGATATTTAAATATGTAATATGGATAATCTTGTGAAGCCTTTCTGACTAAAGACTCAAAATACAGTAATTTTATAAAAAATTCTTTAGTTATCAAAACTAGCCTCCTTACCAAGCTGGAGTTAATAACCTGCATTTCACATTTCATTTAGCTGGATTAAAATGAAGGCATATTTTGTATATCAGTACTATAAAGCTATCAAAAGTTTGCCCCTTCTCAAACTACAGTTACTGTGGATTTGAAGGTTTTATAAAGCAATATTTTCTAAAACTAGCAATCAAACCCTCAACAAATTCTTTTATGTAATGGCAAAGTTTATTTCATTTTTAATAACAATTAGTGGACAAAATGTTTAAAATTTGCAGTTTAAAACATGCACATCCACAAAAGGCCTATGACACATAACACTGCATAGAAAGGAATATACTCAACTTTAATAACTATTTATAAAGCACAGTGCATTGAACATCAAGATAAACAAACCTGAGGAAACTACTGTAACCACAGAACCACCACTCTGCGCTCAGGCAGTGTCATGATTGCTACAGCGGCTTCTGCAGGAATGGTTTTTCATGGAGCTGAGAAAACGATGTTACCTTTAATGCAAACTGCAGCCTTCCCTAGCGGCCTTCCCAGGCTTTTTATTTTTAACCTAATGAAGCTGAAAATGTGAAAAACAAACACTGAAACAGTTCAACAACACACAGTATTTGATGCTTTTATGGCTTCTATTCTAGAACCATGAAACATAAAAATATATATTTTTAATATTCTGCTCACATCTTCGTAGGAGTAGACTACCTATGGAAAATTGCCGTTAATTCAAACTAAGCAAATATGAAATCTAGCTTTTTTTTTTTAACCTACTTAAGGGAGATTTATTTGCTGAGAAGTTGTGTGAGCTTTATTAAGAAAAGTTCTTAGAGGCAAGCTAAACAAAAGATTCAATTAAATTTGTTCAAATTTGTTTGCAAAATAATCTACTTATTAAAAATAAGACATGTGGAGGACCAGTTAATTTGTCCACTGAATATTAAATTCCAGGTAGGCCATGATAGAATCTTATAAGGCAGAAGTAAACATCAAGATTTACAGCAATAGTCATGCATTGGCCTGGGGTCACTTTAAATATTAATTCATGCAAACCATAAACCTATCAAAAACACAGCTGCTCTCACACAGAAAATAAATTAAGATGAAAAATGGAAAACGTTGATTTCATTTCCTTCGAAATTTAACGTACATTCCATTTTAATAGCTGTTGAAGGTTAATTAAAATGTAGCAAAGTATTAGTAAGTTTCACAAGTGACTTCAGTCATTTTAATGTGAGAAAAATCAGACAATGGTACTTTAAGAGACATTATAGAAACGTTCATCATTAAAAAGCATTTATTAGGCACTGAGCTGCACGGTGTTCCCATAAGTAATTCACAAAAGAATTCCACAACTACTCATTGTGATGTAAATGATGGAAATCTTCTTGATAACATTTTTCAGATGATTATTTATAAGGTTAAAGATTTAGTCAATGAAATAAGTTTCAAAACCAGGAACTATCAAAGGGCAATTGCATGAAAACAAGCCCTAACGATTATGTGGTTTTGTAATACTTATGATGCAAGTAATTGAAAAATTACGAATATATAATCTATTACTTTCTGACTAGCCTTCACTTTTTTTTTTTTTTTTTTGGCGGAGCTGGGAGTTGAACTCAGGCCCTTGCGCATGCCAGGCAAGTGCTCATTCTACTGAGCCATTTCCCTGGCCCTCCCTTTACTTTTCTGAAAGAACACTTTTTACATACCATACAGTGCACACAATGCGGAAGAATTCAGCATGTGACTCTCATGGGTGATATTCAGAATGCTGAATTACAAAATTACAATGTAAAAATTTGTGAAGAAGATAAATGAAGATTGACTTCTATAATTCATCCTTCCTCCCCACCCTGGAAAATTAAGAGGACTCCTAGAGCCCACTGAATGACCACACAGTTCATGAAAGTGACTACCTTCATTTAGCAGACCACACATGCACCTCACTAGAAACGAGCTTTTCAAGTGAGTTCCAGACACTTCTGACACTTCCGGTGCAGTGGGACAGAAGAGCATTACGTGGACAGGGAGGGAAGGAACAGACTGCACATTTTCAATTTCCTTCATTCCTGAGAAACATCATTTCTTGCTAAAAAAACCTCTATAATATAGCATCTTTCTGGGTGTGAGACACTGATATATTCTTATATGAATATATAAAAAGTTTAGAAAGTCCATGTTCAGTACCACTATGCAGTATTCAACATCAAAGGAGCAGCTCCCAGCATTTCCATGCTAAAGGAATGAAGGTTTTGTATTATAAGGAGTGGTTTCTGAATTGTAAACATTATACAGCAACTGTGTTAGTATTTGCCAGAGTCCCTACAAGGAACTTTTTGTTCTTTTTGGTACCAGGAATTGAACTCAAGACTTGCCAGTCAGGCGCTGTGCTGCTGAGCTACATGCCCAGCCCCACAAGGAACCTTTTAATTGAAGAGAATGTGTTCTTCATTTTAGAAAATACATGATAAAAGATGCTCTGATTGGTCATTTTCATTCCGGTAAAACTATGTATCTTTTATTCCTCCCAACTCAGGAAGATTAAAAATCAGAGCACTTTCTCTAATTTCAGTAAAACTGCAAAGTCACTGCAATTATAACGCTGTATTTCAAGTTTTAGCAAAGTGGTCATTCCCTGCTCCATAGGCCCTACCTTCACCTGGTAAGCAAAAACTGGCCTAATGTCTATAATGCAAAAATTGGATCATCAGACAAACAGGCATAAGTCTGTCACGTTCCAGAGTATGTTGGTCAGTGCTTAACTATGAGTATTCTTTTCATGGTGAAAGCACTGTCAAAGCAGTCCATGTTTCAAGATGAAAATAAAACTTATTTTCATATTTAAGTCAGAAATTCAATTCTATTTCATTCATAACACTTCAACAACTTGGAGAAGGATGCAAGTGATAAAAGCAAACGGAAGCAGATCTGGAGGGATGCACTTCATGCTTGCTGATTTTTTGTGGTTTGACCTCAACTAACACCACGTGGCAGCCCAGGAGCATAACCTCTGAAGACCCGCGTAGTACACAAAGTGTGCAACTCCAGAATTTTGAAGATGATCTTAGACTCTACATCTGAGGTCTTGCTGGATGCTTTGATTCATGATTTTCTTACTCTGAACCTCAAATGGCAAGAGTCTGAGAAGTGAAATATATAAACTCTCTTTCTTTTTGGATTAGAATTATTTATATGTATTATTATACACATTATTTGCAGAAAATGTGGATTTATACTTGTACCCAGCTGCCTATACAAAGAAATTACATATATTTATATCTATCCCTCTATATATTTAATTTTAAATTTAGATTGAGAAAAAGGAAGAAAAGATTGGGAAATGATTAAACCAGGGGCAATTTGGAAAAGTCATCTCACTTTTTGTCTTAAAGCTTTACCTACTTTGCTGGTAAGTCCACTTAAAGGCAAACAGGCTTTTGAATAAAAGGCAAAAAAGTTTGCTTCAATCTTTGAAGTATATCTCAAAGCTAGAATTCCTTTTCATTTTTCTTTTTAAATGAAAGCCTTATTTAAAAATAGTATAGAAAACTTGTGGTTTTTAAATAGCCCCTTCACCATTTACTGTATGTTGGTAGCAAAATAGGCATTTCTAGATGTCATGGAAATGCTGAAAATTATTAAGCTGAATGTGCTTCAAACCATGTAAGTAAACCCTGCTGATGATGAAAGGTATTCGTTGACTATAAAGTAACAGGTTTGAGGAAAATAGGTATTTTTAAAATAGGGAAAATATCCTTTTTATTTGTCCTGGTAAGCAGCACATGACTAATTTGAGGAACTGCTGGACAAATGAACGTGAATGTGAACTAATTTCCAGTCTTAAGCAAAGGGACGGCCACCAGCCACCGTAACACTGAGTATGCTGAGCAAGTCACCAGGCATCTCTAGTAGGAGCCAACTGTGAGAACCAGAACAATGACAAAAGCTGAGCCTATGTACATCACAAAAGCCCATGCACTTACCCGACATATTATTCCAAACATCTAGATAGAAACTTTGGAAACCTCACATAAATACGTAAGCACAATTTTCTTAAGAGGGGAAACGTTAAGACAAAAGTGACATCATTTAGACACAGCAGAAGCTGGGTTTTTAGAAAGTTTAAAGGATAATGAAACTATCAGAGATGACTAAGATGTAGGTGAAAGTTTGAAAATCAGTATTATGACAGTCACATTAACACATGTGCCTTTAACTTGAATAAATAAGACAAAGAAGCACTTGTAAGGCTGAAGGTGCAACATCACAGATTTTAGTAGCAAATGCCTTGAAATATTCATTTTTGCAAATCACTCCCACATTTGAAAAGTCAAGCATGCAGATAGATCTTACAGAGAACTAGAAGTAAACTTTCTCTTAAAATTTCTGGGCAAATGACTACTGAATGAGAAACACACTTACTGAACTTCTTTGGCAAACATTTATCAAGACGGGTTTTGACACAAACACTTAATAATGCCTTGTTTAGAAATGCTCAGTAAGGTGAGTCAGTTCTTTAAGAATGCTGGTTTCAGCATATCCTGAAATCTAAGTCTGGATAGCAAGAGTCCCTTTAACTTAACTCCAGTTTAGAGTTTTTCATGGGTGGTCGTCTTGTGGTATAGCTGATGACCTGGTAGTGACAGTCCCCCCATCAACAGTGTAAGCCTACGGACCTCTCCTCAGCTTGAGAAATCACTCTGGCAAGACACAAGGTCATTTTCAAGTTCTCTTCACCAAGCCTTAGCAAACACTTTAAGGAATCTGAGAGAGATGGTGTTACAGTGTGGTTGCACAGTGCTTATGTCTCTAATGTACACAAATCTGAAGGTCCACCTGGGAGATGAGCTCAGATCCACCTTTCCTCTCCGTGGACCAGACTGCAATTGGTCAGCAGACTGTGGCAACGACCTTAGATTGCGGGAGCTCCCCTCAGAGACAGGAGGGCCTGCCTCTCAGTCCCTTCCATCACCACTCCTCTGGCCTCTGCTTCGTGGTATCATATGCTCTAATCACCTCAGACTGGGAAACAATTCCATTCTCATCTTGAGAGAAAGCATACCCATCTGTAAGGAAAACACAGTGAGAATGACTGTCATTGTGAGTTCTGAGGATGCACTGTCTAACCTGGTGAGTCATGCACCCCTTCCGCCTTTGAAAGCGCAGAGCACTAATTTTCAACATGTGTACAGACAGAGGGGAGTTGCAACACACAGAGGGGGATGACTGAGGGTCATCGGTGTAGACAACAGGAACTTTGCTCCTGTGAGACTGGGCAGGACTCTCCAAGCCCCTCAGTTCCACACCTCTGTTTCATCCCACTTAATTTTGCTTCCTGGGTCCATAGATTTTTAGATATGTCAGCAGACAAATGGCAGAACAGTGACGTGTAGGCGAGCTTGACAGAATCACTGTACCATGGATACATATCAAACAGCACATTACATCCCTCAGGCACATGCAGAGAATTATTTATTAATGAAAAATCAAGGAGATAAATGCAAAGAGCTGGAGATGGTGGGAAAGTACTCTGCTTCCCCTGAGGAACTTTCTCCTTGGCTCTCAGCATCAACAAATGAACTCAGGCTGTCCCAACTCTGGTGAATGGGTGTGGGGGTATGGAATGGCCCCCAAGGGGACCATGTCTTTGGAAAAGACCCCTGGAAGTGCAGTGAGGAAAAGTATTAAACATGAGTGTATGTAAGTGAAAATAAATTATATGTGGAAACAACATGAAATAAAAGATATATTACTAACACAAATAAATTTACCACTGAGCTTTCTATATTATGTCCTCTTTTAGATCCTTGAAATGTTAAGAGGGCAAGATACCTCATAATTTCTTACAACTCTAAATATTCATAAATATTTTTCGAGGGGAAAATATATGTTTCCTTGTGCTGTATGAAAGCTGAGAAGGCTCTTGCAAAGTTACTCAAGTAGAAAAGATAACAACACAGAGGCAACTTTTAAGAGTCAAGATTTATCTTACCAGTTCCTTTTAAGATTTAGAGGGGCAAGGAAGGTGGACAAAGCCTTGCTTTTCTTTATGTGAAGAAAGGGTGCTGTATCTGTTAAAAGTGAGCAGGTGGTGGCCACAGGATCCTCTCAGCATAATGGCTTGCAGAAATACAAACATGCTCTATGTGTCCATTTAAAGTAGTAAGTATTCCTCAAGTCAACACCCGCCTCCGAAAAGTGCCCGTGACACCAGGACACACACGGCAACGGCCCACAGTTTATTTAAATAAGAACTCAAATACTCACGGAGCAGGTTCTGCTGCAAAGATTCGGAGCGGTACAGGTTCACATGGTTCTTCTTGAAAACGTTCTTGAGGAGCTGCGCCCTCTCTGTGAGGCTGTGGAACAGGTGCAAACCCGTTGGTGAGTTAGCAGCTCAGCGGAGCGGCGGGCGCAGGCGCCAGGGGCAGCGGGACTTGGACAAAAGAGCCCCTGGAGCCCTGCGGTGGGCCGCGTGAGGTTTTTCACTCCATTTGCTCAGATAGCAAATGAGATTTCAAATCTTATATGGCCACTTTGGAGGCTGCGTTCGTCACAGCCATGGGAGAGCTTTCTCCCTAATAACTGAGTGAAAAGATTTCCCGAGTTCTCCTCCAATTTCTGTTATATTTAAACAAACGGAAGCACAGAACCTGTACAACACAATTAATAACAAAACCCACAAACCCATCCAGTGTTTTAACTTTTAAAAGCTTCTTCTGTATATCCTTAGTGTAGCATCGTTAGAAAAAAGGATGCTTAATTATTATCATTCTCATACTTTGCACATATTTTCATGCAAAGTAATATTTTTGGTTATGTTAGAGGATTCATAAAACTACACAAAGAATAAATTCTATAGACTTTTTAGTTAGAAAAAATATATTACCACTCTAATATTTTAAAATATCTCAATTTCATTTTAAATCATTTCAGCATATAATTTTACTAGCTAAAATATTTAGAGAACTATTTTTTTCATAAATATTTGGATCATCTCCACAGATACAAACCCACAGAGATCATTATGTATTTTTTAAAAAGAAATCACACATTTTCTCCTCACTGCATTTAGGTCTGTCCATGACATAGCAGGAACTTAAATACAGGCTGAATATATGAATTTAAATAATTTCTGAAATGCACTCAACAAACATCACCCATCTTTCCAATCAAGCTATTTATTCGTTAGTTGATTTATTAAATCCTGCTATGATATGAAAGAATTTAATATGCACAAGGAGCAAATAAGTAACCCACACACACTGCAGCAAATGTTTACACAGTTTTGTTTTAATAACTGGAACTGACTCAGTTGAAAAATTTCCATCTTTTCTCTCACTTTATGAAAGCTTAAGTTGCTAGAAGTTATGTTAGCTCTGCATTTTGCCAATTTTCAGAGACCTTGAAATGGAACAGCGTTTATCCTGCACAGAAAAGGGTCCCTGCGAATGAACTCATTGTGGAAATGGATTAGACACACACGCAGGCAAAGACTGAAGGAAAATATTTAGAAATGTTGACATTTGCAGTAATCTTCCACACATTTTTAAAAGTTTAGGAATCTTAACTAGTACTTACTAGGCATATTTTATTGTCACCAGGAATTATCTGTATTAAAATAAGAAAGCCACTCTAAAACTCCACTGGTTCTGCAATTCATTGTAAACTTTTTTTTTCTTGGCCAGGGACATAAACAGATAGAACGAGAAAGGGCTCTTTTGCTAAGTCACTTTTACTCTACTCTTTAAAGGATCTAACGTTACAGACCCTGGGACCCAGAGGGACACTAAAATATGTAACTGCTTGGAGGCAGTCCGCAGCTTTAGCAGCAGGTGGTCTGTTTTGCTAGCAGAGCATGGGGGTGGGGAGGGGGTAAGGCCTCTGGTGCCTAAAACCGAAGTCCCTGCCAAAGGCTGGGTGGTGGCCATGCATCATCAGGCCAGCTGTGCCTGCCTAGAAGGCATTTCCCAGGTCTCCTCAGTGCAACAGCCTTTAATACTGCACCACTGAAGTGTCAAGGCAGATAGGAGAATTTGGTTTTTCAAATACTGTGGGGATTGAAATAGCTAATGTAAGGTAATTTTGTTTTTAAACAGTAAGAAAGTCTCTTTCTTAGGCAAGCACCACATTTCTCAGGAGACTGCATGGGCTTTGGAAGCTTGTTTTAGTTTGATTCTAGGTCTGCTATTTATCTGGCCTTTCTTGGTCATCTCTTCTACAAAAGGAGGACAATCTGAAACTCTTAGGCAGACTGTGAGGGTTCAGGGACTTATCACCACAGCCACTGTCATGGAGGAAGCGCTAACAAGTGCTAGTCCCTCCCACCCTCTCTCCAGATCCCAAGGAATTTATTATAAAAAGCAGCTAGAATGGAGATCACCACAAATGGAACTTCTTCACGCGCAATTGTGATTACTTGGTCTCTATTCAGTCCTCACTCATGAGTGAGGTTTAAGGCTGCACATAGATTTCCATCTCTAATGCCCCACTCCACCTTTTTCCTCAGAAAATGAGTCGGCTTTTTTCCTTCAGCATTTGTCCTTACAGGGGACAGTCCCTCCTCCAGAATATAAATGCCATTCACAGGATTGGGCTTTGCAACTAGGCAGTGACAGAGCCGCATTCCACCTGTGGGGAATGACTGAGCCCTCCTTTGAAAACGCGTGCAATTCTGTGTCTTGTGTTTATTTGTACAGATGTTACTAGCAAGTCATATTAGAAAATGTCCTAATGGCACATTAACATAATAGATATATTAAAAGTTCAGTTTTTCTTCAGTTTAGCTGTGAGAGGACCAAGAGAAAAATAGAGACCATCTAGTCAGAAGCACATCTATTACCATTTTGCTAGCAGTTTTCCTCAATCTCCGATGGTCTTTCATTTACATACCAAGTTATGCAAATTCTGAGTTTGTTTAATGCAATCACATAGCAACCACCACTTAAAAATTGCTACCTTATTTCCAAACCCACAAAAATGTTACAGTTTAGGATTTGATGGAGGTGAGTGAAAAGATACGATATTTAAATATATTATTTCTTTTGGAAACATCAAAAACTATGAGTGCTGGTAAAAACCCCACATACAGTTTGGGAACGTGTTGGAATGTGTTGTCTTAGGGTAATTTCCATGATCTTCGAAGGGTCGTAAACTTGCATTTATTCATATAGTGGGTTAGCAAGCTACTTTGGTTGGCTCATAAACATGAATTTGTAGAGGGAAACCAAGCATTCATTTGTGGAATGCTGAATGTGTAGCACGTGACAGCTGTCCTGTACCAGAGACTGTGGTGGTGGCAAGACCAGCAATGACTCTTACAGGCCCAGTCTCTGCCCCAGAGGAGAGAGCGCTTCATCGCTCTGTCCCTTTTCTTTACAAATGTCAGGAAGAGCCGCTGCTGCAGAGATGAGACTGGGCTAAGAATAGACATTTGATATGACCTTCTATCTTCAATCCACATTAAGACATTTATGCTATGCTGACATAAAATCTAGAGTAACAACTGAAAAAATACAACTTATTAGTTTTGGCACGTTGCTTAAGCTACTTTTCATTAAGACAAACACTACAAAGAAAGGCCAGGAGAAGATCCTACCACGTCCACAGAACTAAATGACCTGCCTCCCACCCTGCATATTTTTCTTTTATGCTAATGGGCCAAATAATGGTGACAGAGGCATCGGCGAGGGGTGATGCCACCACCCCAGCCTGGACGTCTACTTAGTAATAGCCGGTGCTGGCGTGCTGCGTAATGTCTACAGCTAGAAAAGTATAATTATGAACCTCACTCTATTTTCCTGTTTATTCAGGGCATTGTTTTGTACACATTGCACTGATAGCTCAGAATAGTTGCCCTGTCTCAAGGAAGTGTATGGCATCCATAATCTCTTATTTTAAACCACTGGGTTTTGAAGTCATTTTTTTTTAAAGAAACGGTAAGATGTTACATGGAACATATACATGTAGCACCCGAGTGGGATCTGGGAGGCCCATTAATAGTTCTGCTGCAAAATAGATAAATCTTCACAGTGTAGGATGACTGAACACTATAAATGTACTTGTAGGACAAGTGGTTCCGGTTTTCGTTCTTTTTTAGTGTTTTCGTAAATGTTTGCTGTAAATTATATAGACAAGAAAAATTTAAACTCAGGAATTTTTTGCCTTTTGGAGTTATCAGTGTTTTTGGTCTCCGGTGTTAGAGTACATCCAAATAAAAGTTACAACGAGGTCCAGGTGTCACAGTCTCTGAGCATGATTGTCCCTGATAGACAAGAGGCCATAACAACACAGCCATTCAGGGGTAAAGTTTGGATATTTCTCCAGCATGGTAGATTGAAAGAGATTTCTACTTCAGCTCAAAGGTAACATATTTGATGAGATATATTTTTCCTCCTAAAATTTAATAGAATATAATACATAATTTTCTGGATATTATGATAAGTGGCACACTATTTCTGCTAAAGATGGCTAGCTATAATGGGGCTGTTTCAATTTTTGAAAGTGAAAAATATGAGAAATTACTATAAATATGAATATTTATATATGGCTTACAATTTACAGTTTCTCTGATACAACTGTATCATATGTAATTTGCGCTTTACAGTAGTAGTTAGGGAAGGATAACAAGTTGGGCATAATCAACTCGGAAGATCTTTCTTAATAGTTGCATTCTTTTTTAACAAAGTAAACACTTGTTCCATTGGACAGTTACTTGGTTTGGGAAGAACAATGTAAAATTCTGTTTGCATGGATTGGATTTTTATTTCACTACTGATGTGTCAAGCATCTTACCATCCAGTCATGAGTGGCGGATTCCACTCATTTATTGCCTTAGTTCATTCATTTATTCATTTACGCCCTATTCATTTATTCCCTTAGTCCATTCCGTTGACTACTTGTCCATCCACTTCACAATATTTATCAGTGCTATTCAGTTCCTGGAGCTGAGCTAGGTGTTGGATCGTGGCTATGACTAAGATAGGTCTTTTTTTCAAGGGGCTCAGTCTAGTTGGGAAACAAATGTACACAAGGTAAACACATTATCATCCACTGCAATAGATGGATTGAAACTGTACGTGAAGTAGAGATATTACACTAGAAATCAGCTAGTTTTACATAAGAAGAGTTGCAAAAACTGCATTAGAACCGGGTTTTCAATGCTAGGGACTGGAGTGCCCCTTCTGGAAGAGCAGTACCTGCTCCATGACAAGGGAGAAGCTTGTCCAGTCTGAGAGGCATTTGTGGTATGATCAGAAGCTATTACAGTAAACAACATGAGGCCATTCCTCTCCCCCATGTCTCTCCCCACTTCTGACTCACTTCTGTCTTTGTGACTCTGTGATGGAGTATGTGTGTTTAAGGTATGCGGAGTCATTCGAGGTGAATTAATGGCTGTGTCTTGTACTGTAATATTTAAGAACATTTAAGCACCATATATTTTGATCACATCTTATAAAATGCCATGATGTTTTGGAACTAAAGGACATCAAATATTTTTCCTTTTTGGCAATACTGAAAAAATGTGCTTTTTTGAAATAATGACATCAGCCCTAGTCTCCCAAAATAGTCCTGGTAGTAAAGCCCATATGATAATTCTTCAGATTAGAGTAATTAGTTGCTAACTTTTCTTTTCTCAGACCCATTTTACTCACTTATCCTCTAGCAGGAAGCCACTGTGTTTATTATGCTGATCACCAACTCCTGATCACCCTCGGCAGCAGTGGCCACATGTGGCACACGCAGCACCAGAGCTTCTGAACGCTCCCTATGGTGTTCAGCTAGCAGCTGACTTACTCCTGAGATACTGAGAAAACTAAGCAGATACCTGAAGCAAGTGAGCTGGCCTGGAGCAACAGGAAAACTCATCTAATGAAGTTTTTAATGGAGAAGTTGGTGATTATTTATGGTAGAATCTATTTCTTTTGGGCCGGCGAGGTAGCTTAGCAGACTAAGCTCCTGCTTTGGCAAATGCAGGGATCAGGGTTCGATCCCCAGTCCTGCATGCCGTGCCAGCCCCTGCCCCCTGGAGCTCACTGAGCTGGCACTGAGTCCCGCTGAGTCCCAGCATGGTGGTACATGCCTGTAATCCCAGCTCTGGGGAAAACAGGAGGATCACTACTAGTCTGAGACCCTGTGCCAAATACATAAATGAAAAAAAAAAAAAAAAAAAAGAATTTGCTTCTTTCCTTGGTAGGCATTCTGCTTTATTTTATTTAATGGTAGGGGCTATACATCTCAGATTCACTGAGCCTTTAGGGTCTAAATGTCATCACATCACCTTCCACCCTGATTATCAACTGGCAGTGTCATTTGTATACTATGACACAAGCACAGTACATACCCTGGGCAGGGCATAATGTTTATTAACACTTATAAGTAAAAAAAAATTTACTGTGAAGGATAGTAATAATATTGGATAGAAATAATATTATCAGTAACTTTTCCCTAGTAATTGTTACTAATTGCTTTATTCAAAACATTGTTATCCAGTATGCTTACATACTCTTCACTATTAGAGAGGGTGCCAGACCACACATAGGTCTTTTGTACGATGAGCGCTGTGATGCAGATTTTTAGATGAAGGGGGACGTGGAGGGAGGAGAACATCTACAACCCTGAAATAAGTATCACTGCTCTTGTATAAACACGGCACTGACTTAAGTACTGTGCTGGGAGTGGTGGTGCATGCCTGTAATCCCAGCTACTTGGAAGGGTGAGGCAGGAAGGTCACAAGTTCAAGGCCCAGCTGGGAAACTTAGTGAGACCAGGCCTCAACTAAGATATAACAAGGATTGGGGCTTAGCTCAGTGGTAGAGCACTTGCCTAGCATGCATGAAGCCCGGGTTCCATCTCTGACACCACAGAAACACCCTTCAGAGGTTAAGTACTTTTATGGGTTACTGATGGGCTGTTTTTGTTTACTATGCTACGTTCCTGAAAAAGCAGTGAAAAGAGGTAGAATAGTGAGAGTGATAGGTTCAAAGCACCCGCTGTTACTAACAGCCTCAGAAACTTAGTCGATGCGTCTGTTTCCTCTTCTGAAAAAATAGAGATGACCCCTCTGCATCAGGTTGTTACAAGGTTCAGTAAGACTGCTGACTGCAAGCGAAACACCTGTCAGGCAGTGAGTGCTCACAAATGCCAGTGCCATGTGTTCAAGAGAGAGGCAGGCACACAGGGGTGTAGCTCTACCCCTTTGGCCTGACACAAGGCAGTGAGAACTGCAGGCCAAGGGCTCAGCTTGGGACCCAGTTGGACACCTACTCCACTGTGTTAAACTGAGTAGAAGGCAACAATCATGGAGAAGGTGACTCCCAGAGTGAAACACTTCCTATGTACTGACAAATCTTAGCTAACTCCTGTATGAGGAAAGAGGAAATAAAAGTCTAAATTCCTAGGACTATCTTCATAATTATGGTGTCCAACTTTTAAAAAATAATCCTTTGTGCATTTGGTGCATCTAATTAATTCACTAATTGCTTTTGGGGGGTGAGGGTTGAGGAAAACTTGAAAGACAGAACTCACTTCACAGATAACAGGGAGGTTGGTTCCTAGTAGCACTGACCACAAAGACAGTTATGGAGCAGTTTTTCCTATGTCACACCACGATTTCTGATTGTATACATCATCATCATCATCATCATCATCATCATCATCATCATCATCATCATCATCATTATTGATGTTGTTTCCAGCCTTTGCTTCCCTTTCATTCTCATGATAACTACTTGTAACTACCATTTATTTAGTGGCCATCAAGCACTAGGCACTGTGGGATATGCGGTATGGCATTCTTCGGTTTTCATAGCATTTTAGATGTTATCATCTCTGTTTTATTGATGAGAAAATTGAGGCTCAATAGCAACAAGCAACTTGATCATGGCCACACACAGCTAAGTAACTGACAGGTTTAACTGGAATCCAACACAGCTCTGATTCCAAAACCAGTCAGTAGCACTAATAACTCCATGTTAGATGACAAAAGTTTTACTGCTTATTACCAAGCACTAGTTTAAAAAAAAGTATAAATTGAAGTTCATTTGGAAAAGATTGTATGCAATATACAATGTGGAGCTTACCTTTTCCCAAGTACAACCGCTCCTGGGTCTTGAGATTTTGCCTCAAGCTCCTGAACTTCATCCACTAACGTTTTAAAAGCTGTCCTCTTGATACTGTGGCAAAGAAGACAGGAATACTCGTGTGAAGATTTTATGAACTAGATGCCTGCTTCAGCAGCATGCTGTGGATGTCGGTGAGCACAACAGTAACTGGAGCAAAAGCAGTGCTTCCAAAGGCTCTCAGAAAAATTGTAGTTCTGTGCATTGATACAATTACAGGTGCAAGTCTGACATGATTTAGATTTATAATATTAAAACTCTAATAGTTATTAACCAAACATCATGTAATTAACTTTAATGATGACTTTTTGTAGCAAGAGATAACATTTTAAGACTTACAACCTTGGAGGAAAATTTGTAAAGGTTTGGTTTCTCCCATTCTATATTCTATGTATGTTTAGGCTGGCAAGCAAAAACTCTTTTCAAAATTATTAAACTATATGTGTTTGGAGATAGTAGAATTTTTTCTTTTACCTTGCATAAATTTGGGGGCTGATTTCTCAAAATAATACTCCTTTACCTAATTTTCTCTAATGCAATGAGTATACTTTTCTCTGAGGTAGACTGAAAGTACCTGCTTTACTTCTTACCTGGTCTTTTAAACTAATTTAGTTCTCTGGTTGCTAAATCATGCCTCTATCCTTTGTGTAATTAAAATTAATATTACCAGTTCTGATTCTGCAAACTCCACAAGTCTGAGTTGATATCACAAGCGGAAAAACCTGAGGACTCCTACGCATCACGTTCTGCGTGTGTAATGGGGCACCACACACTTACACTTTGTACGCAACGTCCAGCAGCAAAGACGCCACGGGAATGAACAGCAGGCCCGTCCAAAAGACTCCGGAGCTGAATAACATGGCTGCCTGTGGGAAGCATCAACAAAATCATGAAGAAAGGTAAATTCATGTTTTATTTGTATATGATTTAAGTAAAATAATTGTAAGAACATTCTGTATCTCTGAATGCAAACTTGGAAAATATTTGCAATTCAAAGCTAAACATGTTAAAATATGCATTTGTTATATCCGTTTCTCTCATGTAGCTAAGAGAGCAAAGTTTTTCTTTATCATATAACAAGTCTTCACACTTTTAAATGAAATTTTTAGTACAGTGGTCAATAATTGGAGTAACAAATCTTGATCTTTAGTAACTTAGAATATCAATCTTTTAGAGTAAACTTAAAATATACTATGGTTTAAATTATAAGACTATCCCATATAAAATAAATCTCAGAAACTCAATTGACTAATTCTGGTAAATGAAAATTACTTTTGTAATTTTTTAATTTAAGAAATCAACCAGATGAATCATGATTATGACATAGTTATCTCTGAAAATAACAATTGGATTATTTTTGACTATATGTCAGTGATAATCTTAATATTTTTGCAGTGGTTTCTGTAGCTTGCTTCCATGCAAACCTGTTATTGCTACACTTATACTATTACTATGTAAAAACCCAGCTAAAACTATATTAAAATTTTAAAAATAATTCCATTATTAATAAAGGAATAATTAATTGAATATCTGTTTCAAATTGCCGTATCAGAGTCCTTCAAATTATAAAAATATTTGTATGATTAAAAAAGTAAAACATTCCATTAGTTGTTTGCCATGATAACAGATAATCTTTACAATGAAATTGTACAGAACTTAAAGGCATTATGCTCTATAACAAAAGCAAAGGAAATAAATGTTTTGGTTTCACTTCTTTGAGTATATTTGTTTATCTAGAGTGGACTTATTTAAGTCCATAAAATGCACTATTATAATTGTATTAAATATTAACTAACATACAAACAGTTAGTATCTTTTTTCCTTCCTTCCTTCCTTCCTTCCTTCCTTCCTCCCTTCTTTCTTTTTTACTTACTTACCAGGTAAGGTTTAAGAATTAAAAAAGATCGAGAGTTTAATTTTTCTAGGCAGTTTCACAGTTGCACATAAATAGTCCTAATCAACCAATCTTTTTCAAATTTAAAGATCACCGATTTTCAATTATGCCTCAGACTATCCATTCTCTTTGACTTTCAATGGAGGCCCAGGAACTGCTGAACTTGTCCTGTACTATCATGGGCTACTGACACAAATCGTCGGTTCTGGGACATTGAGGCTTTTTATTATGTAAGACTGAATAGCTTCAAACACATTTAAAGTAAAATTGAAGATAAAATCTGACACATGGGTTGCAAAGAATAGCACCCATATTCTAGATACCAACAAGGTAAAAAAATATTCACATAAAAGTCACTTTATTTAATACGCAAAACATGATCTTGGACATGTTTGCTGACATCCTCAATAGTGAAAACCAACAATAACTATGTACTAGGAAATGTCTATCAATCCAGGAGGTTTTGTTTAGATTGAAGGAAGCTTTCTAAGTACTATAATAACTGTAAAACTCTACATTTCTTTTTTCCTTCTGAGGGTAAAAGGTAAGGTACCATTCTAAAGCATGTAACTGAAAATACCATGTTTCTTGGCTTACTTTTCATATATTTAAATGTGGGGGGCAAGAGAAGAAAGATCCATTCTTGCCTTCTCCACCTTGAATTAAATGTCCACTGGGGAAAAGGCAAAAGTGTTGGAGAGACTGAGGCTGCTAATTCTGACCATTGTGATGCTAAGTATGCGTGGAGGGGCAACCGGCCCCCACTATTCAGCCAGGGCCTCAGGCTTTACAAATGAACAACATGAATTGAGGGGAGAAAAGTTTTTCTGCGTCATATCTGAAAGCCTGTCAGATTTTTTTTTCTTTTGCAGAGTTAATCCAAACCTAAAAGATTTAAAGCCGACATTAGCAAAAAAGACAGAGTCTCTTTGTATTTTTTGGATGAAGAGGGGGGGAAAAAAAAATAAAATCCCACAGAGGTATTTCCTTCCTTTCTGTACAAGAAAGCTCCCCTCGCTCTGTAGAGACCAGTTTTGTCTTTAACTTTTCACTTCTCCCCACTCACAGGCAGGTCAGCTGGAAAAGGCAAACTAGCGTCAGACAATGGCGCTAACAGGAGCCGCCTTTTGGGCTGCCTTGGGCTCCCCAGAGAGCAGTCTGCAGACTGCCCTGAACGTGGGAGATGGGTGGGCTGTGCCAAGGGGCCCCAGCACCCCTCCCCAAGGTCCTGTGAGACCAAATGGGAGCTGCCACAAAAGTGGCTCCTGGGGCCTGGAGAAGGGACCAGAGGACTTGCTGCAAAACTGGCAAACCGGAGGGCAAGGGCCCTGCTCAGGGAACAAGCGACCTCTTGTTTCTGCAGAGGCCTCTGGCTCACTACTGGACCATGAGGGCCTCGAACGAAAACCAGCATTGACTGAAAATGCAACTGCAGCAGAAGAATTGTCCCGAAATTTCCATGTGAGCTTGGCGAGAAGGAATGAGAAAGTCTGAGTTTACTGTGTGCTTCGCCAAGCTCAGGGGCCTTTACCTCCTGGCTCACACGGGGAGAGCCACCAGCACCGGCACTTCCGTTTGTAGCCAGAGAAGAACGAGTCTTCACCTACATTGCACCCAAGTTCACACGCACAGGCGAGTGCAGACTTGCCACCTGCCTAACCCTGTCGGGATGCGCTTCTTGTCTATCTCTATGTTGGTGCTACAGATTTCAGAGAGATTCCATGATTCCTTGGATGATGTACAGATTCTTTTTTTTTTTTTTTTTTTTCTGGAACCCGGGATTGAACTCAGGTCCTTGCGCTTGCCAGGGAAGCGCTTATTCCACTGAACCATCTCCCCGGCCCCTATGTACAGATTCTTTTTTTTTTTTTCTACACTTTTATAGATAAACATATAGCAATGAGACAGTTTCAAATCAAATCGGAAGTACAGTTTCAACAAATAATACACTGCATATATTCTTCTTAGTGGTTAAT